ATTTCCAAGGTTGTTACGGAGAAATAAAAAAAACATGCACTACTCAAATTACTTTATATAAAACGAATGTCTTCACATATGCAAATTAACTAGGAACCTTCATTTCCTTGTGTGATCACAAGGTATTTGTGATATAATCACCTGATTTATCTTTGCTGATGTTCCTGCCTATGCGCGAGTTTAATGCTGCATCATCTAGTTCCTAAACACTGCGTGCTCAAACCTTTCTCATGACTGACACCGCATGAGGAAGCCTGCATCCAGTGATAGACACAAAGCTGAAATAAATGTGTAGGATCGATTTGTACTTTTCGCATTTTGGCTATATGTTGGCTAATACTGGTTAGACAAGGCCATACAAAAGGACATCTCTGGTGTAGGCCGATCAGTTTCAAACACAATGCATGTATTATCAGAGCATGTTGTGCCACAAGTACGTGTGGTTAATGCAGCCTTGATGCCTTGCAATATGTGTCTATTTGGAGTTTTAACATTTTAACACCTGCTAATGCCAATAAAGTAAAACCTATTATTGTTTCATCGCTGAAATAAATATAACTGATCACATAGCAGGTGATATTGCCTGAATGTGTTACAGGAACTTTAATAATAAACTTTACCTTAGGAAGCCTCACTGAGTCTCAGTACTCTTTTTCAGGAGGGTCCTGCTAACATCGGGGTGTTTGGTAAATTCCCATAGTGGGTGGCTATTTGTGGGAGGAAGCGGGAGAACCTGGAGAGAACCATCCACGCCGTGGGACAGCCATTGGGGAAGATCTGTTCAAACGTGGCGCAAACCCACGGTACTATCGTCACATTGTGCGGGACGCCTCCTCTTCATAATCACACCCCCCCCCCCCTCCGAGGGCATCACGAACCAGTTTTAGTGTGCAAATAAAATAACGTGAGTGGATAAAGCAGGATAATAGGATCTTCCCCCCCCCCCCGCCTTGCATTATGTAACTTCTGACCTACCTCTCCTGGACATTTGTGGGGGAAAAAAGCTCCGTAAGGTTATAATGCATTTTTATAGTTGCATTATGCAAACTATAAAAATATAAACGTGCATAGAACCTGCTCGCACGCATGTTTGAGATTGACTATTTGCATCGGAAACTACCTCAGGCAATGCAAATAATCTATTTTGTTCCAAGTTCCATGTATAGACCCTGAAAGCCTTTTTTGTGCTGGAGGTTTATATATATTTATTTCATTACAAAGAATAATTTACATGAAAGAAGCATTTTTGTGAGATTCTGGTATGTTCGGGCGTGCATTTATGTCTGCCTATTTAATTTATACCTGCCTGACATGTCAAACGCTTCATGATTGTAGTTGACATTAGTCGTGCCCTGCAGTCGGGAACCGTCTGTCGCAGAGGCTCTGTGATTTGATGTGCTTGACTCGCACTCGAAATGTGGTTACCGTGGAAGCCATGGAGTCATCTTGCCCGTCTGAATAAACTAAACGGATGTGCTCACTTACGGGGAAAACCCAGTGTGGGTATTTTGGCAGGGCTCAGTTGAAACCATCGCATTGTTACTTACACTTGGCAGATCGTAGAGAACAGCTGGAAATTTGTATAGGTGCTTTACATTTGTTTTTTAGTCTTTAACCAAGCCTATGCTTTTGTATGGAGAGATGGACTTAGGGAGTTCTAGGTTGTTGTGGCATCCACAGTAAGACAATCAGACTGTTGCAGAATGTTTAATGGGACTCGGGATTTTGTGCAGCTGGGGGGGGGGGGGGGCGAACACCAGAGAAAATTGAGATGAGCATTGATATTGCAATAAAATGTCCACTCTTCAATCTGTAATATTGGATATAACAGGAAGAATGTGTTGCTCCACCTATGTTATGTATTTATGTTCACTGATGTACTGGTAAATAATCTCGAGTGCGTAAATGGCTTAAGTTCATCCACCACATTGTGGATTACAAAAATAATCATGGCCAACACCAGCCACGATTATTTGAACTGGTCCTGGACCTTCTCGAGGTAGACTCAGCCTCAAATGAGTACTTTGTGCGATGTGTAAATTTTTCACTTGGGAGACAAAGGCGTCCGGGCGTGTGCTGGCGCTGATCTTAATAGGTGCTCACTTACAGCGCTTTCTCCAAAAGTGAATTAAGGCTATACGGGGGATCTTGGTCATTGTTCACAGATGGTCCTTGCCTCACACTGCACTCCACGAATATTACCGTCACTCTGGCAGTTTGTAAAAATAAGCAACCTTTAAATGACGTAAACATGTAGTGACATAAGAAGGGAGGGGCTGCTGGGGGCTCTGGGACCCTGGGTGGGTCAGACGCTTAAGCCTCTTGGCGTCAGGCGTTGAGTTCCCAGGCCCTTAATCCCCTTGGCGCCGCCAAAGGGGGGGCTGTGTGTGCTCTGTGGGATATCTGGGGGCGCACACGGCCCCACCCCTCGTTGGGGACTGGGCATAAAAGCGGAGCTCCCTGGACGATCAGGGCCAGTCGTAGCTCAAGACCCAAGACCCAAGACCAGCCATCGGAGGACCCTGGGACCCTGTGAGAGCCAGTGGTGGGACTCTGGAACTCCCGACTCTACGACCTTGTGAGGGCGAGTTCCAGAGCGTAGCCAGAGTAGAGTATCTAGGCTGTGTACCTAGGCTGTGTACCTAGGCTGTAACAGAGTATCAGGAAAGGTTGGAGAGTTGGAGTGTTGGACTGTTGGAGTACTGTTGGAGAGTTGTATTGTAATAAAGGAGTTACCTCTACAAGTGTCTCCGGAACCCGTTACAAACATATCATAAGCCATTTCACAATGTGATATTTTGAAATTCAATATTTGTCCCTCCATAGTAAGTCCACAACAAGACAAAAATTGGCAGTGGCTTTTTAAAACTCTATACATATTTTTGTTATTGAATAGGGATTACATTACCACAATTTTAGGTAACTTTAAAGGTGCCCATTATGTGGTCACAATCTTAAATATCAGTAAAAAATAAATGTGTGCAGGTGCAATGCTCTCTTGCAAATGTCATTCTATTTTACAAACTGTGAAACCACGCACATCTTAAGCAAATACAAAGGAGGGCATGTGCCTGTGTCTAATTCTTCCTACATTATTTGTTCAACCATTTAATATCCTGCTGCTTCGAATGCAAACGCCGCTGTATCTTTTGACAAATTCTGTACGACCCAAGCCCCATGTGATGTCACCCGACGCGACATCTACGCGAGCAGGGTGGGGGAATTGGTGGGCCGGCGCCACCCCAGGTCTTCCCGGCGCGGCGAATGCTGTTCCAGAGTAGCCCCCTGCCTCTGTCAGGTCCTCGTGTGCTCGCAAACTCCGTCGGGGGCGCATTGCGCGGCCTCCTACCACTCCGCCCGGCCTGGTTGCGGCCTCAACCGGCCTGCCCCCAGCAGGTCTCCATCTCGTCCTCAGGTTCCTCATCCCCTGTATAGAACAGTCCTTCCCCCAAGTGAGGCCCTCCTGGGGTGGGGTACTTGCCCCCCTACTCTAAGTGCACATGCGTGTGCGCCACAGGTTCGTCATCGCACACCTCAGCTGGGCAACCACTCCACACCTGACGACCTCACACAGGGATTCAAATTCGACACCCCGCTTCGTTGAGCCTGAGACGCCCATGTGATCACCAGTTTACATATGAGTGTGTCTCTACGTAGGTGGAGGATGTCTCTAATATATGGGTGTATCCGTGCGCGTATGTCGCCTCAAGGTGCAACCTTGAGGTGCCTCAAGGCACAAGCGTCAAGGTACCGTCACCGCCCCCTAGTGGTGAGCGACGGCTGGGGTCCCTCTCTACAGCGTGCTTCAAATAAATGTTAACACTTAGAAGGGACTATCGTTATTAATGTAAAAATAACGGATAATACACTGTAACATGATAACAAATGTATGTTAATACATTAAATAAGTCAAAGAGTCTCCACTTGTTCTCCATCATTGTCAACACATGCCTAGAATCTTCTCCAGGCATTTGTTGACAACCTGAAGACCACCCCTGGCCAACACACAACCCCTAATCCCCCGTCCACTCGAGGTCACGCGGCCTTCGCACGGCCCAGGGAGACGGTTCATCGGCGTGAACACCCTGTGCACGTCTTGCTGGCGGCAGGGAATATTTTCTAAACTGAGGGACGACCCGTTCTGGTCGTGCCCTTTCATAGAGTTAGTTACCGTCCCTAACAACAGCACCCACTCGCGCGCACACACACACACAAACGCACCATCAACAATATAAAAACCGAGACGATATGGATTGTATAACATTTATTCTCTAATCCTCCGGTTTGGCTGTGCTTAGAGAGGCTTTCTGGTGTGCCTCGACGTCGTTGTGCATGGCGACGGTGGCACTCGCACCCAGGAGTTATTTAGTGTGAAATTGATGGCTCTATATATTACAGAGGATAATATTATATGATGCAAAACGGATATTGAGATTTGTTTCGAATCATGTAGAGGCTTTGAAACAAAGTGGTACAGTACTGTGGCGCCCACACAGTAACACAGTGACTGCATGTGCAATGCAAGTGTAATGAGCGACTTCCGCGACATGTCGTGTAGAGGGTACTTCTTCTTTATAACTCACATTGGGCACAACACAGGCCAACACTTATTCTTCCTTACACTGAGTACAACACTAGGTATTAACGTCTCTACTGGCTACACACAGCCGATCACTTGGTGTGGTCCCATCGCCCTCACTCGGCTACGCCGCTGGCTGGCGGCGTGACGATGACGGCGATGGAAACCACGCAGGAGATCTTCCACGTGGCAAGACGACGGAGAGATGACGACGAGCAGCGACGCAACCAGGACCCAGACCCCACACATGAGCCCCGAGCCCCGGGTCCGGGAAAACACTGGATGATCTGCACTAATGGACTCTAGAATCAATTTGCCGTACTGATATCTTCTGGCCACTTTGTATCAGATCACGTGTGGAAGATTCTCATATATCTCCATGGTCCACCAACATTCGACTATAAAATGCCGGATCACAGGCATGTGCCACTGCGTCCAGCTTAAAAGGCAAACAGGTGTATCCCAAACACAACATTTAGGCTGATGAATGAATCTTCTATGTTGTCATAGACATAACACTTTATGATAAAATGTTGTAACTATCAAATTTAACAAAAAAGGTCAAGAATCTTGATTTGGCGAGTGATATCTGAACCAGTCCTGGATTGCACCCCTTCGCAACCAGCTCTAACCAGCATTGTGCATTGACTCAAGGGCTAAGTTAGGACTGTATTATTCGATATAGTAATTGGAGTCCTGGACAAATAACAGTAACCGCCACCAATCTGGCTGTGATTGCATTGCAGGCGCTCGTGCAGAGGTACTCTGGAGGAAGATGGGTCAACTACTGTGGAGGAACCCTCATTGATCGTCAATGGGTGCTCACCTCTGCGAGCTGCTTCACGTGAGTCATGGCACCAATGGAGTCGCGAGTGTGTGTGCAGGCGGTGCAACTGCACCGTGGCCCAGGTACTGTACAGTATTTTGCTGTACCACATTGTGGCCACCAAGGATGGAGCAGTCGATCTTGGCAACAAGGAGGCGGCATCTATCAATTACCTTCACACGATGCCACGTGGCAGTAAATCGCAACATTTCTATTTAGTACTTCCTCACTGAAATGTTTACAGATGTAAGTGATTAAGACCACCCATTGCTCTGTTATCTCCCCACATCCACCACAACGTGCAGGAATGGCTACAGCTACAGGGTGGTGTTGGGAAAGCACAGTGTGTCCACAACCGAGCCGGGGGAGATCACCCCTCCATTGAGCTTGGCCGTCTGGCATACCTACTGGAATCCCAGCATCCCAGCAAATGGGTGAGAACGCAAACAGGCACACTGGTTTTTGTGACACCGTGACAGAATTGCCATGGAGAGACAAACATACAAACATAAAGTGTCATTTAGACAAACAGACAAAATATAAACACTATAAATAGACAAACAGACATGCATACAGAGACACACAGACAGGAACTTTAGGGTCTGCAAAAACTCCTACTATCCGTGGCCCTATTCTTCCGATTATACATGATTATCTGCAATTTTATTCCTATAAATAATAGGAGTAAAATAGCAGATAATATCACCTGCGATATTGGTCCCCCACATCACCACGGTTAGGGGAGAGTTATCTGCACAGCGCTGAACCCCCATTGCATGGGGTATGTTGGATGTGGATTAGGCCCAGACTAGCCATAGGGCAGCATTTCGGGCAAATGCTCAGTGGGCCGGTCCATTCCGAGGGCCGATGAGCCGGTCTGTGTGGAAAAAGAGCAAAAGTGATCGGAGTAAAAATCAAAAAAATGTTCTTACCTCTAATGTCTAAGCTCCATTGCTTAGTTGGCATTAAATCCTATATTCGGCAGCCAAAAAGATTATTCTTCACCAGCCCATTTGTTTTTTGCATCTGCCCAAATGGGCCAATGAAATTTCACGGCAAAATCACACGAATACGGCACATCGCACATCTAGCTACTCGTATATAGTTTGTCCCACAGCCCATTAAAAAAAATGATTGTCAATAGCCATAATTTGGGCAGGTTTGTTTACAAATGCCTGGGCCGATTTTTTGTCCCAGTCCGTCACTGGTGTTGAGCCTTGCATCACGCTGCCCATCTCGATCCCCCACAGGTACGACATCGCCATGTTCAAGATTGCATCGCCCGTGACTCTCACAAGCAAGGTGCGCCTCGCCTGCCTGCCCACCGCCAACCAGATCCTGCCCAACAACTACCCGTGCTACGTCACGGGATGGGGTTCTCTCGACAGTGAGTACCGTTCACTCAGTGTCCATCGGAGGCACAGTTATGGGAAGTGATTTAAGCCCAATGCGTCAATTGCCCGTCCAGTTTTACGAGATGATTCTGGCTGAGAAACTGTCACAAATCACAGGAGCGGGTTGACTCAGCCCTTCATCTTTCTGTCGTCAAAATGAACACAACTCTGTATGGAGTCAATAGGCTGCGAGTAGGTGGGCTGTGATGCTATGTGCCGTTGGCACATTGAACATAGAGACACCAATGGTTCGCTTGGGGAGCACCTGTGAACGCCACACCAATCCTCTCCGTTTACACATTGTCTGTGCGCGTGAACAGCCAGCGGCTCCTTCCCCAGCGCGCTGCAGCAGGCCAGCCTGCCCGTGGTGGACTACGCGACGTGCAGCCAGCCCAGCTGGTGGGGGAGCAGCCTGAGGAGCAGCGTCATCTGTGCAGGGGGCAGCACACGCTCTGCGTGCTCTGTGCGTATGGAGTTCAACGCGAGCCAACCCGCCTCAATTATTTGACAAAATTACTAATGAGAATAGTTACCAACACAATGTTTATTTTAAATCTGAATTTAGTCAACAGTGACTATGAGTGGACAACAATCACCAAGCATGGCGATGACTGTGACCACTGAGATCACTGATTGGCTGACCTGGTAATGTTGGGGAAGCGGAGGGGGGCGGCGCACATCCCACCCCAATAATTAATAACTCAGACTGGACAGAGAGTGTGACTGCTTTCGTCGCCTAGACTAACTGATTGACCAAATGAAATCCGGCGACACTAAGATTTGACTAAAAAACGTGTATGCATATCTATCCTCTTCTATGCATCACAGGGTGATGGAGGTGGCCCACTGAACTGCCAGCAGTCAGACAATGCCTGGGTGGTGCAGGGAATCACCAGCTACGTCTCATCTCTGGGCTGCAACACAATCCGCAAGCCCACCGTGTTCACCCGTGTGTCAGCCTACAACAGTTGGATCAGCAACGTGAGTGCAAATGCTGTCAATGTCAACGTTCTTACCATGATCTCGCTGTCAATGTCAATATTGATGCTCTTACTGTAGCAATGCCATTGTCATTATCATACAAATGGTACAGTAAAAAGCATTTTCAATAACACGTCACTGTCAATGTGATTATTGTTATTGCTATTATAAGTGTCATTATCATTGTCAATGTTGATATTGTTGTCAATATCTATGTAGGTGTCACTTAACCTTGAACCTTGTAAATAATCAGGGAAACGTTTCATGTATGGGGCATATTTGGAGGATTGAAATGGACATGTTACCAAGGCAGGTGTTGAAAGTGGAATTCAGTGGTCAGAAACCAAATGTGAAAACCACAAGATGGTGATAAGACTCGTGAACCTTGGCGCTCAAGTGTTGACTGTGCACTAGTATAAGTGATGGCAAGGTGTGATGTCCTTATTCTATATCGATCACAATACAAAGGTGGGATTTGCATGAGTCATCGGTGTGGCTGGTATCGGCCAGGTATGATTGCTATCATGTTCGTTTATCTATAGGTACTGACGTTCAAACACCACCCATTCCCCTTTT